AGGTAAACTGTGTGACTCAACAGGCCGCACTACAGCCTCCACGATGAGATTCTTCTTTTTACTTTTAATATTTTTTTGTTCGTTTTTGGTTTTTCTTTTAAATTTTGTATTTTTTGGGGGGGGGGGTGGAGGTTGTAGGGCAGAGGGCATAATAAGGTTTTGAGCTGCATGATCTGAAATCCACAGAGAATCAAAAAATGTTGAGAAAAAATTTTAAAAAGGTTAAAATTTAAAATTGTTTTAAATAATAAAAACAGAAGAAAGAAGAAAAAATCCTAACCAACACAAGGAGCAAAGGCCCCGGTTTGGAGGTCAAGGGTTTCCCCTCTGGCCCTGAATTTGTAAGGCCTTCTGAATCTGAGTCTCTTCAGTGAGATATTCCCATATTCTGTGCATCCTGGGGTCAGAGTCGGCAGTGCTACTCCAAAAAAATATCCCAATGCCATTCTCTTGAAATTTAAAATGAAGTATCTGTTCTCAAAATTTCCTACTAATAGGTAATACTGATTTAACAATGTCCATTAAAGGCATGGATTTCAAAGTCATACTATCTACCAAGTGTTTAATGGCTATATATCTTTAGCAATTTAATTTCTGTGTGTCTTTAGTTCATCCATTTTAGAGATAATACTACGAATAGCAACATTTTCCCCATAGGGCTGCTGCATTAATGCGTCAATACATACAGAGAGCTTAACTTGGTGACTAGTCAGTACTCATTAAGTGCTAGCAATTTTGATGTTCATTCCTTATTTGCTACTATTCTTAATGTAAAACACAAAAAATTCTGATAGTTTGATCATATATCAGCCCCAAGTTCAGGTTTTTATAATTTTATTTGTAAGATGATGAATATAATACCAAGGGCATTAAAACTATTTTCCCTAAAAAAATAAAAAATAAAATAGAGTCTGCATTGTAGGAATAAACCTCAGAAATTTCTGTGTCTGGTAGAGTATGTAATTAAAAGTGTAAAAAATTTATGCAAAGAAAAGTATCTATAGGAAGAGAACAAGATTCTTTTTATTTTTGAGATTGTATTTTAATTACAATATTTTCCCCTTCCCTTTCCTCTCACCAAGCTCTCCTATATAGCCCTCCATGCTCTCCTTCAAATTTATAACCTCTTTTTCTTAAATCGTTATTGCATTCATATGTATATTTTTGTACACACACACACACACACACACACACACACACACACACACACACACATCCCTACATATAACCTGTTGCATCCATAAAATGCTTCCTGTATGTATATTTTCAGCATGGACCATTTGGCACTGGACAATGAATTGCTGTGCCCTTCCCTGGGGGGGACCACATCTCTGGCTTCCAGCTATACACAGCTGCCTGTAGAGCCAGAGTCTTGATCAGTCCAGGTACTTCTGAAGTGAAGCTTTTATAAAGAAAAGTTTGCACAAAAGCATCTTTCCTCCATCAAGAGATCAATAAAAGGGAGAGGGATGAGAAGGAAAAGGAGGGGGAGGTGATGGGGATAGGTGAAGAAAAGAGAGAAGAGCACAAAGGAAAGCTGGAAGAGGAGGGGAAGGGGGCATCTCACTGACCCAGAACTTCACCAAGTATGCTGGATTAGCTGGCCTTCCAGCTTCCAGAGATCTCTCTTTGCCTCTGCAACACTGGGATTACCAGGGCACTCCCATGCTAGCCCTTCTGGGGATCTGAGATCTTCATACCTGAAAGGCAAAAGCTTTACTGACTGATCCAACTCCTTCCCACCACACACTCCGTCCTGTCTTCCTGATGCTTGACCAGTGTGCGATAAGAGAAACCATCGGGCAAACAGCACTCTACTTTGAAGATAATTTTCAAAGTTTCTTTTTCTTTTTAAATGTTGACTGTTTCTTTTCAAGATACCAACTGATTTCTTGTAACTTTTTCTCCACAGAGAAATCTTTGATAAAGATTTTTATATAAAAATGTGTAGTACTAAAAGCAAAAAAATAAATGAATTATAATGTTGAGTCTACAGGGTAAAGGAAGAAATGGTATGAAATAACTTAGTGGCTCCTCTTAGAAGCTATCTTGGGGAACTCTCCCCAGTCCTTTCAATTTATTTTGAGATTTGAAGTGATAGGCAGGTTTTTACATTACAATATTTAAATTTTCTGCCTAGTTGGAAACACACAATCATTGCAAGTTCTGTGTGGTGAGAACACTCAGAAGTTCCTCTTTCCTCATGATTGAGGTGGCCCCACTTTCTTAGGTCAGGAAGGAGAAATGGATACCAGACACCAAAAAAATTAAGCAAAATATTACTAGAGCCTTGATCCTGTATACCTCTGAATCTGTGTTCCTTGATTATTGAAGGATGAGAAGTCTGCACACCTGCTTTCCTGAAGTGAGACTGACTTGGAATTGGAGATGTGTATTTGGGTCATGAGTGAAGTCTATTTCAAACTAGAAGCTTGTGATAAAGATGAAAAATATAACAAACTGTGTGTAACTTTCAAGTCTCCATGATATTCTCTGAAAGTAGCCAATATTCTCATCCTTATGAGGAGTGTCCACTGATCTACTTAGAAAAAGCCCAAAGGGGAATTCTTAAGACATTCCATTATGCTTGGGGAAGCTTACTTTAACCATCCAGAAATGTTTTCCCTCAAAAGTATATGAGGGTTGAAGAGCTGGCTCAGCATTTAGAGTGCTCACTCTGTAAATGAGGACCTGAGTCTAGTTCCTCAGCACCCATGTAAACGCTTAGGCATCTGCCTGCACATGTACATGCATACTCATACATATGACCCCACACATGCAAAAAAGCATACACATACATACATACCACACGCATATGTGCTTCTCTCATATATGTGTGCCTTTGTATGTGAGTGAGAGATCTGTGATGTGAGATAGTAAGTGGTCATTTCTGCTTAAAATAGTACCATAGAAATGAATTTTCCCATGAAGGCACACAATGCACATCAAATAGGCCCTCCTCACTGAGAAGTGCAGATGCAGGGAGCAGCTTCATCCACACTGAATCCCAGCCAATCCCATGGGTTTGCTGTCAGACATCTCTTGATTTGTTGCATACCTCCTAGGATTGATCAGTTCCTTCCAGGATTAATAGTTACTTTTAACATCAGTTTTTCTTATGAACAGGCACCATGATGGGTATCACTTAACATAGTTACAAAACTTCATTTGAAATAAAAGTGGCAAAATAGCCACTTTAGTGGGTCACTCTACTGACCAGTGAGCACCAGTGGCATTTAATTCCATGAGTGACCCGGAGAAAAGTGTTTTGAGGTCTAACAGTCATTACTCACCTTAAATTTCTGTGTTAGCTATGACATTTGATGACTCCAACTTTCCATTTTTCTTATCACTCTGGATAACTGTGTGCTGGGCAGCTGAGATCTTAGGTCTAACTGATCTAGGGCAAAAATACTCCAATTGCTTTTATGAACTGAGAAATATCTACTAGGATTTCTATCCAGTTGTCTCACACAGAAGAAAGCTCACAAATCACTGTATCAGTCACTTTCCTAGTGAGGTTACTTCTAATTTATTCTTTTAGATTTATTTATACTTTAAGTGTGTGACTGTTTGGCATGCATGCATGCCTGTGTACAATATCAGTGCAGTGCCTGGAGGTAGCAGAGATGGTGTCAGAGCCCCTGGTTCTAAGTTATACATGGTTCTAAGCTGTTGGGCGTGCTGGTAATTAACCTGGGTCCTCTGTAGAGCAAGGGATATTCTGAGACACTGAGAATTCTCTAGCCCTGAGAGTATGTTTCTAAAAGTCTTAATTACCTTTGATTATACCAAGATAGGCAGGTTAGAGCTAAGGAACTACGCGACCCACATAAAGGCCACAATGGACACAAATAAATAATTTACATCATCAGAAAGATTGTTACTCAAATCAGACTCTATTAATAATTAAAAGGAATTTTTATACAAAACTGTATATTCATATCCATCATATGAGAATGAATAAACTAAAACATATAAAACATTCAAGTCATTTTACATAAATGTCAACCTAAGAAATGATAGTTCAATTATTTTCTAAGGAATTTTTTTAATTAGGGTGTATGTGCGTGCATGCATGTGTGTGTGTGTGTGTGTGTGTGTGTGTGTGTGTGTGTGTGTGTGTGTGTGTATGCACCCTCAGGGACCAGAACATGTTGGATCTGCTGAAACTTGAGTCACCAGTTGTCGTGAGTCACCCAATGCTGGTGTTGAGAGGCAAAGGTGGTGGTCCTCCTCAAGGGCAAGAACACTGAACTGTTGAGCTCTCTCTCCAGCCCCACAGTTTGCTAAATGTGACATAGCGGATTTTGTACTGGACTGGGTCTGTGGAATAAAGTGACACAAGCACATACAAAAGCCTGTGATCATAAAGAAAATGAACTATGTTGCTAACTGGTTAACAGTTACCGAAAATAATATACCGCAACTTGCACCCAGGCTCCAAAAGTTAAACATCCTCTTTCGCCATCTGGTGGTCAAAGACAATGTTTTCCATGTGCATAAAGCACAGATGCGCTGAGTTAACAGCCAATTATGTTTAATGGTTTCTGATTCATCTGACCAGAAAGATGTGCATATTTCCTCAACCTAGATACACACAACTGGGGCAGTTCTGCTCTAATGGTTCATAGCACTGTATACACATAACTACAGCTACAATAGTTCAGCTAGGACATAATATTAGCCAGAACAATTCTCTTAAAAAGATTACTTTCATTTTGTAAGATAAAAATTCTGGCAGTGACAACTTATTTTATAAGAATACTTTTGATATAAGAAATTAAGATGCTTTTGACAAGGCTCAAAAATTGCTGCAGACTATATGCACAGCAAACATTTTTTTCTGTTTTTACTGTTACCAATACTTAAAATCACATGTTGACAGTTCTTCACACCAAAAATATGAATAGATAATTCAATGGTATATGCTTTTTCTCTATGTTTTCCTGAATGGAGTGTTCAAACCTCATGGCATTAACAAATTCAAATGACAAATGTTTCATGTTTTCATTTCTTTATTTTCTCCAGAATATTTTGATACTGAAACCAAATTCTTACTTGGAGAAAAGGAAAAACATAGAAACATAGAGAGACAGACATTCCATTTAACTTACATTATCATGAGCAGTTACTTTTGTAGGCAACACTTTTTATTCTTTGTAGAAAAGAAATAAAAAAACAAACAGCACCATTAAAGAATGCATGATCCCTGAATTCTAAACAAAACACTGCCTAAAACCTTCTTCTGAAATGCTTGTTGCAGCCAGTCACATTTAGTCAGGTATCAAAGCAAGCATACCATTATTCAATTGTAGCAGTCTCCTGGATGAACTGCTCCTCCTCCTGAGGGTTTTACACACCTTTCTGAGTTTTTCCTGTGGGAATAATATATTCTTTGGTAGAGGACTGAAGGAGGGTTTCGCTCTTGCGTATGCTGATAGGAAATGTCTGTGTACAGTCAGGGCCTAGGCCCCCAGTCTGTGTGTGCCATGCTTGCTGTGTTTGGGTGGACTTCACATTTTGCTGTTTTACTGGAGGAGAAAATTCCGCCTTTGAACAAAAAAAGAGGCATTACAGGGCTAATGTCAAACAGATGTAAACATTTAGAATACTGACCCAAAGAAAGAACAGTCCACAACAAACACATTTAAAAAAATGGTACTGAAAACATGAATGAGATCGGATTTCTGCGAAGCAAGGAAAGGGTACAGCAGAGCCAGGGAAGGGGGAAACCAGGTAAAGCACTTTTCTGGAACATTTGTGAACAGCACAAACACAGCAAAGTTTTTCTACAGTCTAGATTATTCTGTGACTATAAAATATAGTTCAAAGCTAAATAGTGTATGCTATTAAAAAAAGCAGCTCCTTTAAATTATAGTAAAAATGCCTTTTGTTCGCTTTACAGTGACAACCATGAGGACAGAAGAAGCAACACAACTCTTACAGTGACATTTTGGCTACATAGGCCCCTGACGGTGGATGAGTTCTGTCCCAGGACTCTTCACATTGTTCTCGGGGAACACAGGTGGACCTCAAGTCTGAGCTCTGCGTGTTCTATGGGGTAGGTATCCCAGGCAGCTATTAGGATGCTGGGCTACCACACCAGGCTAAGGCCAGGCAGTAATGAAGCTGGGCTTCAGCATCTAACACCTGGACATCATCACACCCCACCCAGAGAAGCTGGGAGACTGGCCACAGCAATTCTTTTTTTTGTTTGTTTGTTTGTTTTTTGAAATTGTGCGAGTGTTTGTAAAGGAGTCTGGCTTGCAGCATTGTGTACTCTTTCAAGTACTATTTTTGACTACATCATGAAGCACCACAGGCACCAGCTGATTTCTCTATGCTTATTTTGAACTGAGTAAGAATATCCAAAGTCCAGAAGTCAGCTATGGTTCTACAGCTCACCCCAGAAACACATACTGCCATGAAGTCTTTCTAGCAACCTGGCTCAGGCTCATAGGTTTTCAAGTTTGTTTCTTAACACTAGGCCTTCACAGGGAAACAGTCTACATAACTATGGTGCTCTGGTCACTGTATTTTGCATTCTCACTTTGGGGAAGGAAAAATATTTTCATTTTGAAAATGAATTTGCATCAGAATGCTTTTATTAACATGCCCATTAACTAGCTAAATGTTTTATACAACTCAGGCATATGCATATCACATGGAGGGGAATAGGGCATGGTAGTCTCCTTCCCTCCCCTGCTTCAAAAGTGCTATTTTGAGAAATACATCCTTTGTGATTAAAAATAAATACATGTTACACGTGTGAGTTCAGTTCCTGATAGGGGACTAACAGTGTCCAGTGACCAGGAAAATGCACACGTGAAGTTTGCACATTACATCACCACAGCCGCATAGTAAATAGCAGTGTTGAGCTGCACACACGCAGAAACGTGGAATCAGGAAGCTGGGAAGCTGCTTGCCTAATTCGAATAGGCTGGCTTTTATATAAACGTGAAATGCATACCTACAAAATACCTAGCCGACATTTTGCTCCTGAATTTCATTACTATACTCACTCCAAAGATAATGTCTCAGGAAAATAAACAATAAGAGAATGTCCAGAATTTGAACTGGGGCAGAAAAGAAGCTGGTTCTAGAAAAATTATGCTCTTTGGACCTGGGTGACAGAATCCATGCACTATCAACATTTGAATTTCCAAACTTACTATGTGAAATATCCAAACATACAGAAGGACACTTTTCTTTATTCCCAGGAAGCAATTGGCAGGCAGTATTCAACAAAGGTGCAACTGACAATGAGCCCAGTATCCCTTCAGCCTCAACTGTCCCTCTCATACAGAGTGCAAAGGCTTCGAAGACTTGGTTTTCTTTAACAGGTGTCAGGTACTGACGCTGTAGTTCAGAATCTGCTGGTGTAGACAGTATCTGGCGCTGGAATAGCAGCGATTAAATAGGAAGGGGTAGGCATGCAAGTGTCACTGCGTATTGGGGTGCCCCGCTGTGAGGCTAAGAGCACAAGCTTCAAAATTAAGATGATATCATACCCAAGCAGACCATAAGGGCATCACGGATAGGCACAGCTACACCCAGGCAGGCAGGCAGGCAGCTCACAGCCTGGCCCTAAGGTTGCAGTCCTCGGGCTATAGCTAAGTGCATCACTGACTTTTCCATCGTCAATAGATAGTTTTCATATGAAAAGGCAGGGACAGGACTGAAGCACAGGGTCACTGCCACAGGCAGCCCTTTTTTTGCTTGTCTTTAAGATAAAGGACCTTTCACCTTCAGGAATCTGTTAGAACAATGTCTCTGTCACCTAAGGAAATTTGGCAACATCACAATAATAGATTTAGAGGAAAGTACCCCACCCCAGTTAGTATGGATTTAAAAAAAAAAAAACATAGTGGTTTTTTTTGTTTTCTTTCAGGAATGTATGAAGGGTTTCTACTCATTCCAGTTCACTTTTGAAGATACATTTTCAAGGAATGTCAGAACTGTTTACGTTGACAAGATGATCCCACATGAAAATATCTTTCACTCTGACCCTAGACACAAGAGATTTTTCCCTCTGAATTCTTTAATTTTAAATTCTACAGGCACAATCAATGGACTAATGGCATTCGCATTTTGTGCTCTGAGTTTGAAGTTAAGTGGGTGTACTTCTCCTTCCTTTAGTCTTGTGTGCTTTGGAGCTTGGTTTGGGGAACAGAGCCTTGTCAAGCACAGCTGTCTCCAGTGGGAGAGAAGTCAGCAGACGGAAGTAGCTCAGCTCCAGGGTTTTCACTGGGTAAACACTGAAGATAACTGAGATGCAGTATTCCTTTTCCAGCCCACTCTCCTAGGGCTGAGGAAAGAAATAGCAACACATGCAGGAGGGAGCAAGTTTTGAAAGTAAGGGTTATTTCAGAGTCAAAGACAACTGTGTAGACTGGGAATCAAGAGGGGAGAAATGGTTCTGGAAAAATATTACCCTTCATTCAGCCTTCTGTAGTTCCTATCATCAATTCCTACCAACTTGCAAAAGGAGGTGGCCCATCTCTGCAAAGGTCAGAGTGTACTGGTGTAAGGGCAACAGTTACTTCCCACACTCCCAGTTTCCATGTGGTTATTGGATTGGAGTGATTAGAATAGTTATTACCTTACATCATCAACCCACTATACATGCATGTACAGCATTTTATTGTTTATTTCTAATATCAGGACATGGGTTTTCATATTTGCTCTTAAAACCCACAAGTGGAACACCACAATACTCTGGTCCCATGATTATCAGCCAATGGACCTTACATTATTGGATATCCAAGGGCTAGAATCACACCAACCTACAGCACGGAGCTCCGCTGTCAATTCAGATACAATGCATAGTCAACCACAATTTGTGGACAGAATCCAAAGCCAATTCAGGTTTTTTGTCAGTTTCTGAGAAAGAGTAAGAAAGGAGGAAAGAGAGCTGGTACAGTGGATGCCACTGACACATCCTTCATGTACTTTCTGTGATCAGGGTAAATAGGAAGAATCATATCTTTAGGCTCCCGCTCCTACTATGCCTCGAGCCACTGGGTATGGGTAGGTCCCACAGCATCACTGTAGAAATGCTTGCTGTGATATCCAATCTATGGAAAGACACCTGGCCAACTTAGGTCATGTTTGTCATAGTTTTTCAACATCTGCATATCTGGTGATTAGACAACTCAGGATGCCCTTACTGTCTAGGCCTGGATTGAAAGAAAAATGAAAAAAAGAAAGAAAAAGAAAAAGAATGAGGCAGTGATCTGTATACACGGACAGAAACACATCGAAGCTGTGAATGGTGACTGAACAGGCAAAAGCCATTCCTGCGTGCTGCATCTCCCCCGGTATGAGAGATGTAAGAAAATAATCACCTAGAAGAAAGAGATGACTAGCTCCTCAATGAGATATGCCAGCATAGAAGTCAATGCCTTATTTGACTCCTTGATAATCCTGTTAGGCTTTTTCATGTTAAAAATGGGGGGGGGGGGCACTGCATCTTTCACTCAGCTCTTATCGGACAACCAGGCAAGCTACACAAAGTTTGGAAGGGCCTATGCAGTCATCGTGGCAGAAGGCTCCACAGCCTTTGCACACAATCATGGCTTTGAGCCGGCAAGAGCATTTCAGCTCTAACTCGTCAGTGTTGCTATTGTCTGCAAAGTTCTGAACTGGCATCTGAGTGTTCGGACCTGCCAGGCCTGTGGTGGTGGCAGGGCTGGAGCCACTCCCCAAAATCCCAATGGACTTTTCGATGGCAGATGCTGCCCTTTTGAAACTTGTGCTCCCAAAGTGTATGGTCGGGTAACTTCCACAGAGCGGTTGTTGCTGGGGCACTGGGATTTTTTGAGCAGCTAACTGGGTGAAAGGCTTTTGAGGCTCAGAGAGCAAGTAGGAAGAAAAATCTGCATTTTTCAATGCAAATGCCTTCAGCTGCTCTTTCACTTCATTCTGGTCATACGAAACCTGTTTCATGCCCAGTTCACAGCTGCTGCTTAAACCTTCCTCAAAAGAAAGAGGTTCTGATTTGATATTGCTACATATGCCAGTGGACTGGGGCCAACTAAGTCGCTTACTGGTTTCCATGGTAACTGGTGGTTGCTTTTGATCGGATGGGACTTCTACAGTAGGGAGAGGTGGAGGTAGTGGAGGGGGTGGAGGGGGTGGTGGGGGCAAGGCCAAGGGTGGAGGGGGTGGTGGAGGAGGGGGTGGTGGAAGTGGCAGTGGAGGATGGACCACTGCTTTGCTTGGCATTGTGTGTGTGGTGCCTCCCCCTTCCTCGCCTTCCTTTATGGGCATGTTGGGGGACAACATATTGGCTAGTCTTAGCTGGTGAGGTGCTGATGGAAGATTAACATCTCCCAATGCCTTTTGTTCAAGATGCCTATTGAAGGCAAATGCACTGCAGCCCACTGGGGTCTTGGGAGAGGTCTGTAACAGAGCAGCAGTGGGAAGGGGTCCCCTGGCAGCCATGGGCATTTGGTAGAACTGCTGTCTGTGTGAGGTACTAGTGTCAGCGTGGAAACCATCGTTTTTGTTCACGTGGAACAGGCTCGGCTGGAAGCTACATGCAGGCAACAGCCGTTTTTGTTGTTTGACCTCGGGGCTGGGCATGATCCTGTTGGCCATGGAGGACTTGCTAAGCCGTTCCTGCTTAAATGGCTGGCTGTGTCCTAGCTGACTCACGCCTGGACTGATGACGCAGGGTACCGCTTTGACATCTGGCTCCATCGCCATCTTCCCTGGCTCACATTTAACTTGAGCGTGCTCTCCCACAGTCCTGGCTGCTCTCTTTTTGGGATGGTTTTCTCGCTTTCTCATTTGGAGTGGTGCTAGAGTTCCTGCCAAATAGCCTTTACCGTCTGGATTTGGGGAGCTGGACGGCATTTCCACCAGGCTTCTCTCCAGCCCTGTCTTACCCACTGAGGTAGTTTGAAGGGGCAGAGGGAGCCTGTGGATTTCCAGTTTGGCTCCCAGTCTTGGCTGCGGTAACACCTTTTCCAGAGGCAGGTTGCCCTGCAGTAACTGTGTCACCAATGGGTTATTAGCTTCCACGGAAGACAGGCGGCAGCTTGAGCTGCCTGCACTTGGAAGTCTTTTCAGGGTGTCTGTAGCCAAGGAGATAGCCTCTTCTGCGGGACTTGTGGCGGAAGGCTTCGTGGCCTGTGTTTGTTGACCACTAACACTGTTTGTCACCTCTGGGGCTGGAGGAGGACGCTCAGGGCCAGGGAAATCCTCCGTGTCCATTCTAAAACCCTTGTCTACTTCATGGGGTTCGGGCTTCACAGGAAGACTGACATTGGTGACGAGATTCCGAGGGTGGAGATCTGACACGTGTGCATAGTTGGCATGCTCTGTTTTGACAGCCTTCAGCCCACTCTGCTCGGGATATTCTTTCTGTTTACTTGAACCCGAGTGACTAACCACAGGCTGTCCCGTGTTTCTCATTGACTCTTCACTCCAGCAAATCCGGTTTCCTGGGTTATACTGATTGCTACAGGTTGTGTCTGTTTCACTCTTGAAAGTACTTGAGTTTCGTGCCTGCTCAGCAAAGCCATGACTAGGTGCTGCCACTTCATTTAGTTTATCTGGAAGAGCAAGGGGCAATTCTCGATGACTGGTGTTAGTGGCCTGAAGTGTCTTACAGTCCTGTTTAGCTGTAGAAGTAGCAATGAAAACAGAACCATGGTCAACACCTTCACTTGTGACCTGCTCGGGTCTACTAATGACTGATACCTGAGGACATGCCACAGGCTGTATGGGTATGTCTGTCCTCACTGGCCTACTCTGGGGATCCAAGCTTGCTTCTGCATTTCCAATGGAGACAGTCAGAGACAAATTGGAGGTCAGTGTCGTGCTGTGGTCCACAATGACTTTACATGGAATCGATCTGTTTATGGTTGCTGGGGCAAAGCCCCCTGGTGGCTGCTGAGGTTTTCCAGAATTGTCTGTCCTGTTTCGAGGCCCTGAACTTTTGTCCAAGTTTTCTCCACTTAGTTTGGGAGGACTATCATAAGAGTTTATAGTGAGCATGTTTCCCGAAAACATTGCGATGGGTGGGCGTGAAACCAGTGGATCAGTGACAGCCACTGAGTCGCCACAGCTGAGAGCTGCTCTCATGGTGGCACTAATGGACACCGTGGCCTGTTCTTCACTCCCAGACATGGCCATCTTCTCAGAAGCAAATCTGTTACCAATCCCCGTGGGGGGAATCAAGACAGAGCTAGTGCAGAGATGGTTTGGCAAATTACTTCCAACAGTGGGAGCTGGCACAGATGTGTACTGACTGGACACTAAGTTAGCAGCCTTGCTGCTGGGTACAAGCAGGGTCTTACCATCCATGGCGTTAGACCGTCCAGTACCTTCTGGAGCAGCGGGGATAGGAGTCCTGTCGATACATTTTGGTACAAGGGCTATGCATGGAGTGTCAGATCCCTGGATGGATTTCAACATGCTTATATTACAAGCAGAAATCGTACTGTTTGCACTGTCAACAGACATGAGGACAGAAGATTTGTCAACAGGACTCACAAAGGGATGCTCTTTAATTGCTCCCGACACAGCAGTGCTGCAGACAGACATAGGGACGGGGTTGATGGGATTTTTATTAAGAAGCATGGGTACACTGCTATTTTCAGAAGAGGTAGATGAGACAATTTTCTCAGTTAAATGTGACACAGGTATGTTGTCATCAGAACTATGCACAGACAAGTCAGTGGCAGTTTCTGGGATGTGAGGCGGGTTCAGAGGCTGCTGTAATACAGTGGTGGTCTCCCGGAGGTGTGTGGGCTTGTTGCTAGGAGATCTGCAGTTTGGATTGATGATGATGACACCAGTGGAGCCTTCCATTTTTGTTTCAGGGGTAGAAGAGGCTTCCATATTGAGCGGTTCTTCCTTGGAGCTGAGAGTGGGCAACCGGGTCTCCTTGGAGGTCTGGAAGAGGTGGACTCGGGCCTGATGCTTTGCAAAGAGCTTAGCTTTGGTCTGCTCCTTGATGTGGGCCAGGGTTCTTGCCTTCCCACCCTCTCCTGGGTTTCCCATGGCTCCTGAGACAATGCTTGCTGCAGCTGCAACTGCAGCAGCTGCAGCAGCCTCACGCTGGGCACGGGCTTGTTGGGCACGGGCCTTGATGTCTGCAAGGGTCCTGGCTCCTGTGTTCCTACCACTGCTGACTGATGGGCTAGTGGATGCTCGGGACTCTGCTTTGGAGACTGGCTGGCTCTTGATGATAAAAGGTGGCCCAATTTTAGAAAGCTGTATCTGAAAGAAGGAGAAGATGGTTAGTATTAGTATGCAACCAATGAGGATGATTGTGGGGTATGGTAACCCAATGGGAAGATGAGGACCATGGATGTAGCTTAGTTGGTAGAGTGCTTGTCTAACATGTACAAAGTCCTGGGTTATATCACTGCAGCCCTAGCACTCAGGAGAGAGAGGCAGGTTATTCTCTGTGATCTTGGAGCCAGCCTGGTCTACATAACTAGTTCCAGGCTATACAGTGAGATCAGATCTCATCCTCATGTATTGAGCTTAAAGCAGGCCTGGCCTCCAGGAGAACCTCAGCCTTAAAAAGGTGGTTAGTGGGTAGGGGTGAGATGCATTCAGTCATAATGTGGATTGAAAGATATCTCAATGTCTGAATGAATCTTTAGGATATAAAGAAACAATAAATGCAGTATGAATGTGACAGTGAAGTTTTCACTTATGAAGATATCAGCCAGTGATTTCATTTAGCAGGACTTGAATCTTCTTAAAGTCATGTATAAATAGAGCAAATAGTATGCTTCTTGGCATAAGATTAGATCATACATGGTGAAGCACACTTATGATCAGGAGGACTGTGAGAGTCTGAGGCTAGCCTATGCTACATAGTGAGTTCCCAGTCACCCTGGGCAACATAGAGAGATCCTGTCTCAAAAATAGACAAGATGATAGATAGATAGATAGATAGATAGATAGATAGATAGATAGATAGATAGACAGATAGACAGACAGATAGATAGATAGATGATAGATGGATGACAGAGATAGATGGATAGACGATAGGTAGATAAATGAGATAGATAGATGACAGACTGATAGATAATGAATTATAGATACATAGATGATATAGAAGATAGATAGATAGATAGATAGATAGATAGATAGATAGATAGATAGATAGACAGACAGACAGGGCAAAAAGACTTAGAGACACTTACCTTTAAAATTATCTTCCCTGCTAGAGAAAAACAAACCATCTAAGCTATCTTCTCCTAGTTTAATCTCCCTTCATTTAGTTCAGAGAAAATAGCTCCGGCCAAGAAGCCTGAAGACCACAGCTCTCTCACCTTGGCTTTTCATAAAGGTGACCCTCCTCTGGAAGGTCACTGTGTGCCTCATTGGCTCCAGGATCGGAGGGTGGTATAGTTTGACGGACCAGTTGGCTTGCTGCCTAACGTGTGTAATAAGCATACTATGGACATTTATAAATGAGTTCAGTTATTTCTGGTCAGTGGGTTTCTGTAGATAGAGGATGCGGTACTTGAGGCCCGTACTGTCATGGCATTTTCATAAAAGCAGGAGAGGTTGACTGACTGCTTCTGTGTTTCAAAACGATATGATTTGGGATTTCTTTTAATATTGACCATCTAAAGGTATACTGTACCTGTTGCCCAGTCTACATTGCTTACCTAGTTTTGCTATTTAATAGGCTAAAAAGTCATGAACTCATTTGGGGGACACAAGAGCTAGCATGCAGCCTCCCATGGTAAGGCTGTGATGACCTAATCACTAAGAAAAATTTCAGAGTTACAGTTTGGGGACTGGAAGGGCTTTGGTTGTTGTCTTCACTTCCAATGGATGTTATCTGCCCAGGGATTAGACAGTGACAGGGAGTCTGTGAACTCCAAACTCTGCTGTTTATAGGAATCTGCTCTGTGTCTTTCCCTTTCCCATTTTGAACAAGAGTTTCCTAGAAAACTTTTATCTTTCTCCCAAACATATAAGGATATTGGCATTATAACTTCCTGACAGGTACAGGATCTTCCCACCTGGGATGTGTTTCTGGACCTCTAGTAGAACATCCCTTCTCTCTAAGTAATCCCTTTTCTTATGGACAAACTGCTTATAAACCATGTTCTTCAATCCATGGCCAAGAATCACCTATTTGCCAGAGGGATTACATTTTTCAGTTTTATGTTTCCCTTAGTCTAAATAATTAAACATGTTTAAATACTACCTAAATCTGCTTTATCAAGAGATCACATTCAAATACTAAGTGAATAGTTTGTCTTTCTATAGAAATATATCATCTGTCATGTATCTATCATATACCTGCCTAATCCATTAATATATATTTAAATAAAGCATATAACATTTAGAAAATCAGCTTTTGATTAGAAAAATAACATGGGTATATCTAAAAAAAATAGTTCCTCGAAGACATATATTTATGTTTTTCTTTCTGTGGTTTAGAAATTAAATAGTAGAGTGATTTATTAAGTGGTGTTTACAGTAGCCATTTTAATGTTTAGAATCTTATTTAATAGACATGGCTTTCTTAAGTAAAATAACTACAACCACACTCTTAAAACTCAGGCTTGTAAAGATCCTGAATCACCTATAAGGTGGGGTGTAGCAGAGCAAACTAAGAGGCTGGTACTTGTTAAAAGCTTAAGATGTTCTTAATTCTACAGTTCCCTGTGATGAGGACACTATCCACTGTGTACACATAAATTGGCATAGGCAAAAGCTGCAAATAAATATGGCAAAGCATAGCAAAATATGCTACTAGAGATTTATTTTGAATCAACCTTAATTTTCAGTTTCCTTACCCACCTACGTGTTTAACCTATGTATTTTCTTAAGAGACAAACTGATCCAGGATAAAATAAAAGCAATCAAACAGGGTTATCTGTCCCAAAAGCTTTATAATTTGGTGACGTCTGAGGCCTCTTTAATATCTTGGAAACTAAATTTTGGATTTCTTGGTGTATCTACTGCATTCTCTCTGAGTTAATAAAGAAATTTTATTAATTTTCATAGGAAATATTCAAAAGTAGCCCAAAAGACAGGTTCCTTATCCTTGGCAGTGGTGGTTGGGTGTCCAGTGTTTGTTGGATCTTCATCTCTCAGTCCTGGACTGGCCTCTGACCACTTTCCCCAAACCCGTGGAACTGTAACATACCTTTCACACTTTCCCAAGTTTCTCATCTGTGTCTTAAAATCCTCAAATGTTGTGTAGGATTCCCTAGGCCCTGCTGTTCTCCACAGTGCTCTTAAATCCTGCTGCCAAAACATATGGGTGGTTCAGGTCTTCTTGCACTGGCTCAATGTATAGTTCATGATTTTAAAAAAAATGTATGTGTATGTATACGTATGTGAGCCACATTGTGCTTGCAAGTACCATGGAGGACAGAAGGCATCGGATCCCCAGGAACTGGAGGTATAGGTGCTGCTGTGCTACCTGCTATGGATGCTGAAACTGAACATGGGTCCTCTGCAAGAGCTGCAAGTGTTCTTAGCCACCAATCCATCCCTGAAGGCTCCTCTATGCAGTTTTTTTTAAAGATAATTTAATGATAGAGTTGGTATGAATAGATTAGTTTATAGCTTGCTATATGAAGCCTAAAAAGAGAAATATCTAATTAATTTCTGAAAATTAAGTTTCTAAAGATGGGACTATATTTCCAGAATAGTCTATTTTAAAATACCATACCTTAAGAGGGGGCACCCTAGGCTCCTCTCGTGGAGGCTGCTCTTTCTCAGGTGAACTGCAGGATACTAGGCTGCGGGCTGACTGGTCCTCTTCTATCCTGGGTCTTTTCTCTTTACCAATTCCAAAACTATGCTCCACAGTTTTCCTCTTTGATATCTCTGATTCTCTACTTTCAGTTCTTATCCCATCGGGTGACTTGGAGGGCTCTGATGTTTTAGAATTATGTGAGGTCTCCAGTCTATTTAGTATACTGGTCTGCTTATGTATTTTGTTTCTTGAGCCTTCTAAAAATGGAACCTTATCTACTGATGGGACATACTGCTTTTCCTGGAGTTTAGCTGGTGGAATCTCATTTCCCTCAGTCTCTGTCTCCTCAGAAAAGACAGGGACTTCTAATGGTGAGGACACCCCTTTCTTTTCCGTTCTTTGCAGGACACTGTGGTTTTTAACCTTCATCATTTCTGTAGAGGGAAGTTCTGGGATAGAAGGCGGGTAGAGCTTCTCCATTTCAACGTGAGAGTGACAAGGCTCTTGACTCAGAGTCTGGCTGTGCAATTCTTCAGGTGGGAGTGCTTCAGGCACAATGGAAGAACTCATGCTGATGGGCTCTGGGATGTTGGACAAAGGCAGAGGTAGGGAGATAAGGTTCTCTCCCAGGGGCTTGGTGGGGACAGAAGAGTCATCTTTCCGTGGAGAAAGAGCTTCTTCAGAAGCAGAAGGTGACTTTCTCTGTTGATGCATCATTCTTTCATTCATGGAAGAGTTAGAAATTGGAGAAGTCTCTGCAGGGACAGGCAAATTGGATACAAAAGGCGTCTCAGAGGTGAGAAGCATGGAAGGTACTGAGGAAGTTTCTGATGTCAGTGGTAAATCAGACATTGGAGATGCTTCTGATGTCAGAGGTAAGTTGGACACTGGTGATGCCTCGGATGTCAGAGGTAAGCTGGACATTAGAGATGCTTCTGAGATTTCGGGGGAGGTGGCTAGTGGAGAGACTTCTGACATCGAAGACACATGAAGGCTTTCATCAGCAGGGTTTCTCTGGCTGTACTTATCTGTATTTTCAGTGCTAGACACCTCAGAACAGAATGTTGTTTCCAGAGAGGCTGGGGTGCACGACTCTTCAGACGTGGATTGTGTTTCCCCACCTGGGGATGGAAGGCTGGCACATGCTCCCTCTGGGCTCTCAGAGGAGAAGGAAGTCTCAGAGACACAAGCATTTTCCGAGAGCTGTTCTTCAGGGTCACTCTGTAGCTCCATGTCTACAGCGATTCCCTCATTTGGAAATTGGCTTTCCAGAGATGGTTCTGCTCTCAGGGTTATAGTGCTGGTCACTATAGTTGTTCCTTGTTCCTTCTGTTCTGCATCAAGGATATGAGTGACAGATGAAGTGCAAGGAACAAGAGAGTCACAGATTTCTAGTTGGTCAATAACAACTGACATTTCTTCCTGGGGACAGTCCAATTTTTCATCTATCTTCACTTCAATATGAGGTAAAGTTTCTAAAATATCATTCATTACAACACAGGACTCCAAGGTATCTTCAGGGACTGCTAACTGAGGCTCTTCACAAGAGGTGGCTGGACTTTCAGACTCCTCAGAAAACTCTGGAATGGTCTTATGATTTTCATCTTGGCATTCACAGATACTCGTCTCTACCTCTTCTGCCACTTCCTCCTGAATCACAGATTCCTCCGGGATAAAGATGTCTTCTGTTTCTGATTCTGTCATTACATCCTTCACTGGAACCTCTAACATAGGGCAAATGGTAGTGCAGAAGTCAGGCTCTGAGGAAGCTGAGCTTTTCAGGAGTTTTGGTTGCTGTTCTTCTAATGCTGTCTGTGCAGAAGCACCTGGAATGCCAGAGTTCCCATGTGAGGAACACCCTGCAGCTCCATCATGGTTTGGTCCAGAAGTGAGCTTTATGGATTCTTCTCTGGACATGCCCAATCTGAGCAGAAATTAGAGACATCATTACACAGTCATAAAGCAAAAGGCTCAGATTGGATCTCTTACAAGTTCAGTATTCAATAAAAGTAAATGTATTGACTTGACCAGAAAACCACTAAGTCACATGATTAATTTATGTTAAATAGTTCCTGACATAGCCTTAGTGCTGCCTTTACACCTAAAAGAAGCTTCAGCTAATTAAGAAAGGCAATATTTATTTTATAAGCAAAGATTTTATAAATCTTACCAAGTATTAGTAAAGGGAATTTGAATGTTATAAATAACAATGAATCAGAAAATATGGCCAGAGAATCAAAGAATAAATAAAATCCTATTTTTTTGAAGTCAGAAAGTAAAAAGATGTTTTTATAATATAAAAATTATAAAGTCTTTAAAGTATGCAATGGAAATAATTAATATGAATGGAAATTTAGTGAAATACATCAAATTTTAAAATTGAAATGACTTCTAAAGATTAGATATCTTAAAACCAATCTAAGAAATGCTACTCGATATGCCATGTTTGGTTGATCTCCATGGGAGGCCTGCCCATGGAAGGAGGGGAAACAGCACTCAGGTTATAAAAAATAAAGTAAAAAAAAGAAATGCTACCCAATTTTTATCTTGGCATCTAATTGTCTAATTAAATATGAAGAATAATAAAAGAACTTGGAATTATTCAAGTTATTCTGCCAGATGATACTTGTGTCAATCAAATGTGTGTGCATGCCTTATTATGAAGATATTCCATACAGGACAGCAGACTAAAATTCCAAGATAATCTATCCCACCGTTAGGTACCCAAGCAAGGCTAAGTGTAATTATAGTGAAGTTTGCAGTGAGTCACTGTTTTCTTCATTTTAAGTTGCAGCATCAGCAGCAGATGGTAGAAAAATGCATTATAAATGAAGCCAAATTGGGGTGCAGGCAATGAAAGGTTTGGATAGCAATATTTTGAGAAAAACTTAGAGCAATAAAAAGACAAATGGTGTCAGTCAACTAAAAAGGGTCTGGTGCTACGGCAAATCTCTCATACGGTGGGGTATCTAGGTAATGTAGGAATAGTGAAATGAAAGAGGAAGTTATTGTAATGTGTCAGTTCTCCAATATGAAATTAAGATAGTAAAGAGCAAAGAGCAAGCTAAGTGATGTCATGGAGTGAAAAAACCAACCTACTGATAGTCTACAGCAGTGGTTCTCAAGCTTCCTAATGCCATAGCCCTTTAATACAATTCTTCATGTTGTGGTGACCTCAAACATAAAATTAGTTTCATTGCTACTGTATAACTGTAACTTTGCTACTGTTATAAATAGTAATGCAAATATCTAATATGCAGGATATCTGATAGGGAACCCCTATGAAAGCATCATGACCCACAGGTTGAGAACCACTGGCCTATAGAAAGAAAAAGCTCCAGACTATAAACTTGTATTTCAGAGCATGATAAACATGGTGGGAAGTCGTTACTCATGGTATGGTGGCTTTCCTCTTCTGCCTCTTCATCAAGTATTCTTGGGAATCTGGGAAGTATCCAAACTTCTTGCGGAAGATGTGCGTGTTTGTGAATTTTTATGAGAACTATTTATAGAATTAAGATTTTGAGCAACTTATTGAACTTCATTATATAAACTATAATATTACTTAGCTTCACTCTCCCTGATATATAACCTTTTATAATAACAGCAATGTAGATGCACCTATGGGTGGGCTTCTTGTCCTTCGTGGTTCTTAATGCTGCCAGGCTTCAGTATGACCTAGTTTCTTACAATGTGAATTTCTGGGTTCAACTCCTAGAGATGATACATCAGTATATTTATTTCAAGTGGGTCTTGAAATCTGTGTGTATGTTTAAATTTTCCATTGAGGATTCATTTGATGTACCTGGCTTAAGTAACACTGTTAATGACAATACATGAAGACATATTATTAGCCTGCCCCATTTTTGAGTTTTGAGAAAATATATTAATTATCTCTATTTAGTTTTGCATGTGTGTATGTGAATGTAAGAACCCTGCTAGAGCAATCAAAGAAAGAGTCCTCATTATACTACTAATGAAGACAATTCACCAAGGGTAGCCCATGCTGAATAAGAAGCCTTTTGTGTGTATGTGAGTGTGTACACATGTGTTGTGTTTCATGTGTGTGCAGCTGCATGTGTGTGCATGTGCACATTGGTGTGTGTGCATGCAGAGACTAGAGGTCAAGCTCCAGTGTTATTCCTCAGACATGGCTTTATTGTATTTAGTTATTTATCTATATATTTATTTAATTATATGTGTTTATGTATCTACATGAGTGTATGTATATATACAGGTGAATGTATAGAAGCCATAAAAGGGCATCTGATCTCTTGGAGCTGGAGTTACAGGTATTTTCAGGATGGCAAGTTTGTCATGTAGGTATTAGGAGCCTTATGATTATACAGCAAGTGCCCTTAAATGCTGAGCCATCTATTTGCCTCCCACCGTTCGTGTGTGTGTGTGTGTGTGTGTGTGTGTGTGTGTATGCATATGCATGCAACTTGGCCTTTGATACAGGTTCTGTCACTGACCTTTAAGCTGATGAAACAGGTAAGGTCAGCTGACTAACAACCCCACCTTCCAAGTGCTGAGGTTGTAAATGTGCCTTCACACACACCTTTCACATTGGTTCTGGAGCTTGACTGAGCCCCTCATACTCACCCAGGAAGCACTTTATGGACCAGGCTTTGCACATACAAAGCACCTTTAGCAGGAATTCCTTATGCAGAAAAGCTCAAGTGAGATTCCTGGGATTATTTTACTCACTGACAGGAGAAATTTGTGGAACAACACTAAATGGTACAGAAGACATGACCTGAAACCATCTTTGTGTCTTTCATACAAGCATTAGTCAGAACAAGCTCTTCTACAAAGACCTGGAGCTACAATCAATAGCATTTGGATCTCCTTTCCTAGAAATCTGATTATCTGAGACTGAGATTCTTACCAAACCATGTCTCTCCACTCAACAGTATGCAGAGGGAAACTGCTTTCAGGTTAATTCAGTGACTACCATATATCCATGTGGTTACTATTGTTTACTTTTTTAAAGAAGCATGGCCAGGGAGATGGCTCAGCTGATAAACGTCCTAGCCATACAAGCATAATGGCCAAAGATGGATCTTCAGAAACCATGCAAAAAGCTGGACAGAATGGGGAGCACCTGCAATCCCAGCACTCCTCCAGTGAGGTGGGAGGCAGAGACAGAAACTCAACTGAAGGCTCCAGGGCAGGCTAGCACCTGGAGTACAAAATGCAATGGCTGAGACCCTGAAGCAACAAGGTGGAAAGGAAAAGCTGACTCCCTCCAGTTGTTCTCTGACTTCTACAAGGTGCCGTGCATGATGTTTCTGCGCACACACACACACACACACACACACACACACACACACACACACACACACAATGAATTAAAAAAAAGTAAACCAACTCAAATGCATATTCAAAATATTCAATAAACCCAGGCTACACAGATAAAGTGGAACATAATACCTCAGCTTCTCTCCAACATACACTTATTACAATGGACACATGAAGTCAATATTTATAAGGAACAAGTATGAGAACTAAATGTTTCTAAAATTCCTTGTCTTTGCAATATTCATTAATGAATATATGTGGATAAAAACTAAGAGAATTTGATCAAAACCCACTTAAGAAAATCAAAATTGACTTCTTTAGGATTCCACATGTAATTTTTGGTCTAAGACGAATTTTCATGAGCATGTTATAAACCTTGAAAACCCATTTTTAAAATTTAAGTGCTGATATGCCACTATAATTTTACCTGCAATTTCGTACACTGGGGGACCATTGCCTTTTATCACAGGTTTATTAAGTTTTACAGCATATGAGGGTGCCATGTGAAGCAGAGAATTACATTTTCATTTCCTTCTAAAAGAAATGAGAGAAAAGCTCTAGTACTTACCTTTCTCCATAAAACCTCTCAAAGAATTTTTCTTTCCAAGGTTCTGTTTTCTTTTCCTTCTCAATTTCTTGCCTTATTCGTAATTGCATTTCTGGGGTAAACTCTCCTAGAAAGAAATTGGCAATAAACTGAATTAAAATGGCCATGTCCTCTGCCAATTCAAAAAAGACCACATGTCATTCATTTGAGTAAACTTCACTGAATGTTAAAGGTAAGACGTGCAATGATCGCATTTCTACTATTTCCCCTTTTATGAACATCGCTCAAATGGTCATTTCACGTTAGACCAACTCTAAAACAATTGGTGAAGGTATTACATGCTATGGGCTGCAAGTGAAACTGTATATCCACTGTCCTGGAGGAAATCATCCTGATGGAAGCAGAAGGCACATAATCGACTATGAAATATTGTCAAAAGCCCTGTACAGGCCATAAGGATAATATATGCATTGAAAGTAGAGAGAGGGCAGCACTTATTTTTTCCTAAGTCAATTAAAGAGGATTACATTTAGGAGTTGATTTTTGAGTTCACTTTTAAAGGATGATCATCAGGCTTATGTAAGTGATTAGATCACAAGGCATGGAGACATGAATATGCATATTTATGTCCTTTTGAGTGGCCAATTCTGAGCAGAACATTGGATGAAATTAAATAAGAAAGGAAGGCTGGAGTCAATTACCCAATGCATACTCTAAAGAGAGATCAGTATTTCCTTCAGGAGACAGGAGCTCCTGATGGCATCCCATGGTGGCAGAGCAGAGCCAGGTAAATAGCCTGGAAAGAAAGTGACAAGATGGTGGAGAAATCGTAGGACTCCTGCCTGAACAGCACGGAGGGGAAGACGCACTTACAAGTGGGCCAGCAACAGTGGGGATGCCAACAGGCAGCTGATTAAAAGTCGAGTCACAGACACTTTCAGTTTTAGAGTACCCAAGTGTGAGGGTCAGGAGACCGTTCAGAGAGAGCAGAAGGAAGAAGAGAAAAGCAAGGGGAAGTCCTAGGTTCAGTGCAGAGTATTTGGGCTGGGACTTAGAGTGTGAGAAACAAGCAAGTGAGATCTACAAACACTGGAAAAAGACCAGGGGTGAGGAGTGAGGACCCATCAGAACTGGAAGCTTATAGACAGTAGCACGAACCTAGGAGGTAACCAAGGCTGCTTGGAGCAACTGTACTGTTCAAAAGAAAGTGTTATTTTAGAGATGTCATCATTTACTATGAAAAAGGAGTAAGCTTAAGGAAGCTGTGAAAGGGTGTGAAAATACAGGCCCAGGGAACAATTTAAAATACACTATGAATGTCTAAAGTTTGCTGTTTGATATGAAATATGGTAAAAGGCACAAATAAACTAGAATAAAATGCAGTGTGAGGAAAGGAAGTGACGTGTGAGGACTGAGAGGAAGGTGTGAACTCTAGGGATCAGAATTCCCTAGGAGGAGTTCAGGTATCCAAGTAGCACCAGCAAGTGGAAGCAAAGGGCGTACAGTGCTGCATTTGATTTTCTTAGTCTTTCCAAAACCCTGGGTTGAGTTTAAAGAAAGGAAATGCTGACAGAAGCTTCAGGGAAAAGGAGTGTCAGAGTTTCCCCAGAATCCAGGAGATTGAGAAAATACAGTGGATTACACTATGTCATCATTTCAAAGATATTATATAACAACATTCATATGAAATGTCTATGATATAGTACACATTCTTCAAAAATGTCGCATATTAAAATGCCCACTATCATCAAAGAATTAGTGAGCTCCTTTAGAAAAGGGTGGAATTGCACTAAGTGAAAAAATGTATCTCAGGGAGGAGTTGGGAAGACTTGGAAGTCAGAGGAAGACACGAAGCTCAGTACAGCATGTGAAGGTGCACTCTTCAGAGTGTGTACTCTACAGAGTGTGTGTACTCTGCTGTGTGTGTATTCTACAGTGTGTACACTCTACAGTGTGTGTAGTCTACAGAGTGGGTGTAGTCTACAGTGTGTGTACACTATAGGGTGTGTACTCTACAGAATTTGTATACTCTACAGTGTGTGTACTCCACACAGTGTACTGTACAGAGTGTGCTCTATAGAGTGTGTACACTCCGCAGTGTTTGAAGTCTACAGAGTGTGTACTCTACAGTGTGTGTATTCTACAGTGTGCGTCTTCTATTGTGTGTATTCTACAGTGTGTGTATTCTACAGTGTGTGTACTCTACTGTGTGTGTATTCTACAGTGTGTGTACTCTACAGTGTGTGTACTCTACTGTGTGTACACTCTGAAGTGTTTGTAGTCTACAGAGTGTGTGTACTCTACTGTGTATGTATTCTACAGTGTGTGTACTCTACTGTGTGTGTATTCTAGAGTGGGTGTATTCTATTGTGTATATTCTACAGTGTTTGTAGTCTACAGAGTGTGTGTACTCTACTGTGTGTGTATTCTATTGTGTGTATTCTACAGTGTGTGTACTCTACAGTGTGTGTACTTGACTGTGTGTGCATTCTGCAGTGTTTGTAGTCTACAGAGTGTGTGTACTCTACTGTGTGTGTATTCTACAGTGTGTGTATTCTATGGTTGTGTGTCTTCTACAATGTGTGTACTCTACTGTGTGTATACTCTACAGTGTTTGTAGTCTACAGAGTGTGTACTCCATGGCGTGTGTACACTATAGGGTGTGTACTCTACAGAATGTGTGTGCTCTACAGTGTGTATATTCTACACAGTTTACTGTACAGAGTGTGCTCTATAGAAAGTGTGGACTCTGCAGTGTTTGTACTCTACAGAGTGCGTGTAGTCTATAGAGTGTGTGATCTACAGTGTGGGTACTCTACAGTGTCTGTACTCTACTGAGTATGTGCACTCTATAGTTTGTGAATTCTTAGTGTGTGTATTTTATACAGTGTTTTCCACAGAGTATTGTGCTCTACAGTGTGTGTGTACTCTAGCATAGTGTGTGAACTCTAGCAGTGTGTGTGTTCTCTAACAGAGTATATTACTAATATGTGTGCTCTAACAGCATATGTGCACTTTAGCATAGTATGTGTGCTCTAGCAGAGCATATACATTCTAACATAGCACATGTGCTCTAACAGTGCTCTAGCAGTGTGTGTGTGCTGTGCTCTAACAGAGCATGTGTACTCTGACATAATACATGCACTGAAGCAGAGTGAGTATACTCTAATATAGTAAATGTGCTCTAGTATAATAGTACATGAGAACTCAGCATAATACGTGTATTTTAGTAGAGCATGTGCACTCCAGCATAGTACAGGTGCTCTAGCACAACACATGCACTCTAACACACAGTACCTACATGCTAACACAGTACATATGTCCTAGCAGAGCATATGTGTAGTTGGAAGTTTTCCTGATCCTGCCCAGCTCCTGCAGCCCTGTGGTCCCACAGCTGCTTGGAACCAAATAAACACACAGAGACTTAAATTATTTTCAAGCTACATGGCCTAATGGCTCAGGCTTCTCACTAGCTAGCTCTTACATCTTAAACTAACCCATTTCTATAAATTTATACTTTGCCACATGGCTTGTGGCTTACCAGTACTTTACATCTCGCTTCTCCTCTGGGCGGCTAGCAGCATCTCCTCTGCTCTGTCTTTCTCCTTCCTCCTCTCTAGTTTAAATGTCCCGCCTAACCCTATTCTGCTTCACCATTGGCCAAACAGCTTTATAAACCAATCAGAGCAACACATATTCACAGCATACAGAATGACATCACCCATCACATATGCACCCCAACATAGTACCTACCTGCTAACCCAGTACATATGCCCTAGCAGAACATGTGCACCCTAACATAGTATCTTCATACTAACACAGTACATATACCCTAGCAGAGCATGTGCACCCTAACATAGTACCTACATGCTAACACAGTACATATACCCTTGCAGAACAGGTGCATTCTAACACAGTACATATGCTCTAGCAATATGTGTGCATTCTAACATAGTACCTGTGTTCTAACACAGTACACACGCTCTAGCCTGTCACATAATAATAGGAAACTGAAATTTACCTTCTGCCAGTCGCTGTTTCCACCCTTGTGCTGCGTATGCAAAGAATTCATTATTCAGAGCTGAAGTACTGAGGCGTAAAATTCCATCACTTCCCATCTAGGAAATAAGCGGACAAAACAATAGTCCATCAGAAACGATTCAAAGTGAAAGCATGCAAAGGAGAAGCAAAAATTGAGTAGGATTGAGTGTGTGTGCGCGTGCGTGCGTGTGCATGTGTGTGTGTGCGTGTGCGTGTGTGTGTATTAAGGTCTGATGTAGGAGGAAAGAAACTCAAGAAAAGATGACTCCTGGGGCTTCAATCATATGCCCTCTCTTGCTGACTTCCAGCACAGAGACAATTAGTTCTGTCCCTGACTGTAACTGTGGACTGACTATAAGGGATAAAAAGATGAGGGAGTGCCAAGCAGCTAAGCATGAAGTGACTGGGAATGGAGAAGTCTGAAAGATAAAGGCTGAGGGAACGTATAGGTGGGCATGAGGAGTGAAGGGCAAATCTATGCACAAAGTGGAACTGGTGTGGTGTGGAGAACCTGAGGACAGGGTCTTCTTCCACTCTGCCAGCACCCAAACGAGGAGCAAGCGAGTAAGTTCATACAGCTGACACAAAAAGGATCTGTTAAATTGTGTGCACACATGTGTGTGTAAATGTGTGTGCTTTGTGCACACTGTGGTGTGGATGTAGAGGTCAGCAGATGCCTGACTGAGTTGTTTCTCTCCTTCCACCTTGTGGATCCTGCCTATCCTGCCAGCCCACAATTACATGTATATATCCTTATTTTTAGTATTTTTCTCTGCACTCTATCTTCATCCATAGAAATAACCATCTTAAAGATTTAATGCAAGGACTCCATGAATATGTCAGATAAGTCATCATTCAGGAGTAAAGAGGAATATGGATTCTGAAAACACATACTGTCTGTCCAAGACTGGATCATGAAAAAATCAAACTGAGGAAAGGCAGATATCAGGAATATGAGAGTGCTGCTGACTAACTTGATGGCATCGCTATCTAAGAAGAAACTGGCAGCCACGAAAGTAGTCAATGTACTAAACACAGGATTCCATTTATTCATTGTTTACTCTCCATTTTTACCATTATTTAACAGATACTTCTTAGATCACCAGTATAAGCTTATGTACCTGGTTCTTCTGTGGGTGCTAGCGATGAAGAAAAGGTTCCTCTCCTTAAGTTCTCAATCTATTCCACATGGAGCAAATGATTGTTTCTTCTATAGCCTTTCCATTCATCTAGTTCTGTGTGGTTGGGATGATTAATATTGACTGCCACAAAATATAGAATCATCTCGGACACAGACCTCTGGGCAAGCATGTGAAGGAGTTTCTAGACTGGGCTAATTAACACGAGAAGACCTACTCTGACTGAGTGTGACACCACTCCCATAGGTTGGGAGTTGGAATGCAGAGAAGAAAATGAGCTGTGCGCCAATGTTCATCTCCACCTCGCTCCTAGTTGCAGAGACTTTGTAATCATTTGCCTCATGCGGCCACCATCACGATGTCTCTACCATGATGAACTGTATCCTTAAGCTATGTTCCAAGATGAAGCCTTTGTTCCTTCAGTTGCTTCTTATAGGGTATTTGATTACAGGGACTTGTAAAGTAACTTAATATAGTAGCTGTGCTATAGCTTTACGGTCAGCATTGCAAACTCATACCTTTTGTGAAAAACATCCCAGCCATTATATCTTTTGAATGGATAATTCAAGAATATCATTTTCAGAATTTGGTCTAACCATTGAACTATTAGGCACCACTGGTGATAAGTCTTCAAATGGCTAGGATATGTGGATCTGAGAGCTAAGATTAGAATGAGCTAGATGAGCTAGTGCCAGGACCCACTTGCCTGTTTCATGCATCTTGTTCTCTAAGTTTCAGATTCAGTAAAATCTGAAGCCCCGCTCCAAGATGAATCACTTCTCCTGGGACATGTTGCTCATTTAGGTACTACTGTTATTTGGGGTCATGAATGCCCTGTGCATTGCAGGAAAATTAATAGCATGCCTGATGCATGAGCTACTTGCAGCAACCTCTCTCTAAGATGCAGTATCTAAAAGTGTCTCCAGATACTTCTAAATGTAATATGGAGGCATAACCATCTCTAGGTTAAAAATAGTCTACTAATAGACAAAGTGATGAGTTAAGAACACTATGGTAACTAAGCTTTGCATGGATACCTTGCATCTCTCATGTGGTAGGATCATAAGGCAAAGGAGATCTACTACACAAATGGGATCATCCAGAGGCAGAGGGCTGCTTTTTCAGAGAGGAACAGGTAGGATGATGCTGGGAACACTGAACATTCACTGGCACATCTTGGTGCATGCAAAGTAGGACCAATGCAGTGATTAGTGGCAAGATGGCCATAGGCTCAGATGCCTCAGGGGTGATGTCTGGGTCCTGCTACCAGGTCTACCAGCAGAAGAACTTGTCTAAGGATAATCATAAATGGGTTTTAAGAGGAGATAAAAGGAATGTCAAACAGAAATTAAGTCCAGCTTAAGACTAGTGTCGATTGTAGCTAACCCACCAGTTATCACCCTTGTTCTTTCTTTCCTTTCTTCCTACTTCCTTCCATCCCTTTATCCCCCTCCAAGTACTTGTGACAGAGTGGTCTTCATGTGACACACTGCAAGTGCTACAAGTGCTAGAATAAACCAGCAGTGGTGAAACTCCATCTGTGTCAAGAAGCCTGTGAAATATATAACAGTCAGGATAATGACTGGATGCCCTAGTGCCACCCAAGCCTGTAAAGTCTTGGACTTGTGCTCAAGTTCAGAGGTCTCGAAGGCAACCTGCAGGAACAACCTGGGAACAACTCAGGTTCATGGGAAACAGGAATGATTGTAAGCAAATAAGACATAAGCCAAGGAATTCAGGCTTTAACCTCTACCTGGGATTGGTCTACTGAGTGCTTCTCAAGTAAATGTGAAGTTCCAGGTTAATGGTCTCCAGGTCTAAGTTTCCCCTTCAGTTTACATCTACATGTCATGGCCTTTTCCAGTCTGAGCCACAATCCATGGAACCTATGAGGCCCTACTCTAGGTACCAAAACACTCTAAAATGTTGGTCTCAGAAAAGCCTTGTAGATCTAGGCCTGCAAAGGTGGCTGGAGGAAATGGGCAGCAGATATGGAGACATCACTAAAATGCCATTGTAAGATTTAGAGGACAGATGATCAAAGGAAGGTAGGGCTTGGCGATACTCAGGATGGGGGAAGGTCTTCAGGATCAAGGAGGTGAACACACCATGAGCATGTTAGAGGAAGCTCCGAAATCCCCAGTATCACTCTGGCAGGAGTAGGTTAATATCTGCCTTGGAAGTCAAGCAGACCTTCCAGGGATGCTACAAGAATGTTCAGTGATATGTCTCTAAGCCTGCAACATGGACAGAGGCTGCATGTGGGCCTCGGTGGTGAAAGAGAAAAGCTACCCCATTGAGAGACATGAATATGGAAGTAGATCCTTGTCTCACGGGTGGATTTAAAATAAGATTAGCAGGTGTAGGACAAGTTCCCCACAAAGCATAGGAACCTGTGCACTGAGGAGTCCATGCACACAAGGCACAGTGAGACAGGTCTAACTCGTTCTACATTTGGGGATATGCACGGAGCTGATGCAGCTTCAACAGCCTATGCAATGTGCAGACTCTCACAATGGTTTCCTTGCTACCCTTATTTTGGTTAGTGGAAGATTTGAAATTTCTCTCTGGCAGCTCACATCCAGAATTTCTGTTTCACATATTCTGCCAGGCTGGGGGCTTGGTTACTAATTTTAAGACACAAAGAAACAGCAGATCCAGATTAGCTCTGACAGATTCTCAAGATCTGAGCACATGATAAAGCAAGTGTGATATAAACACATTCGAGAACATGGAAGCTGGCCCTGGAGGAAAATCATTTTCTTTTCAAATAGAATGCACATGAAAAGTAAGGTTCCCGGCCTATGTAAGACAGCACAATTAAACACCGCGGCTAAAATAGACTTAAGAAATACGTGCCAATAAAACTTTTAAAGTACACGATTAATTTTATGGCCTTTAAAAAATACTGTCTGAAAGAAATAACGCTTTAATGAACTAGAACAATAAACATTTCTGAAAGGTTAGTTATTTATTGATGCGCTATAAATTCTGATTTTTTATTAGCCATGATAGAAACATTCATTCTGAAAAATCTTCTCTCATGATGAAGTGTCTAGCTAAACTATTGATCAGCTATTCTTCCTTTTAAATTAGCAAGGGAAAAACTGACCAATATGATTTCTCTAGGGAAAATAGTAAGCGCAAAGAAAAAATATGTTCATGCACAGATCCCGGCATGATGTAAAGATTTAACTCTTTCTTACGAGTTTATCATCTGCCTTTGACATTGGTTATTAAAACATTTTAGCTGGTTAATACATTAATACATGTCTGTAATCATATTCTTGGTAGGTTCAGGCAGGAGGATTACTGTGAGTTTGAGGACAGCCTGGGTACTTAGTGAATTTTAGGCCATCCTGGTCTCCAGGGTGAGAGTCTTTAAAAAAAATGACAAAAACATTTAGGAATAGATGGATGTCAATTAGAATTCAAAGCATTAGACAAACACTGCTATTTAAACACTATGTAATATTATCTAATATTTGAACTCATAATTAATAAAATAACATTTTAAATTATTTGTTTTTGAGAGGGGGGGGTGGATAGGGTCTCATATAGCTCAGGATGGCCTCACCCTGTTGATAATGATGAATTTGAACTCCTCTTCTTCTTCTTCCTTCATCTCCTAAGTGCTGACACAACAGACCACCAAGCTAGACATGGTTTTTAGCACTATTTTTCTTTTTTCTTAATTGTGTTTCTCTTCCAGGTGATTTCCCAACATGGTAAGAACACTCATTAGAGGAACAGTGAGAGGTGGGCTGGTTGTGAAAAACTGGCAAACAATGACTCACATCTAGAAACACATGCACCTTGGATTTCATTCTATAGTCAGTGGAGAGCTGTTCAATGTAAAGCGGAAGCCCGAGGAAAAGAGGCAAGTTAGTGTGCACAGGTAGCAAAGGGCTGGCTTAGACAGCGTCAGGGCGGCCTCC